AATAAAAATCTTTAAAAAAAAAATGGTTTAAAAAAAAATATCAGAAATGAAAGAGGAGAAATTACAATGGACACCTCAGAAATACAAAAGATTATAAGAGAATACTAAGAAAAGCTATACACCAACAAATTGGACAATTGAGAAGAAATGGATAAATTCTTAGAATCATACAACCTTCCAAAACTAAATCAAGAAGAAATAGAGAATTTGAATAGACCAATCACCAGTAAGGAGATCAAAACAGTAATCAGAAACCTCCCCCAAAATAAAAGTCCAGTACCAGACTACTTCCTTGGTAAGTTCTACCAAACATTCAAAGAATTATTCTCAAATGCTTCCAAAAAACTGAGAGGAGGGGAAGCTTCCTAATTCATTCTACGAGGCCAACATTAAACTGATACCAAAACCAGACAAGGACAACATAGAAAAAGACAATTACAAGCCAATATCACTGATGAATTTTGATGCAAAAATCCTTAAGCAGACAAACAGTGAACATGCAGGCCTATTTTGCAGACTGACAGACACCAGTGTGACCGGGCTATTGGGCCAGGGGAGAATGGCCAGGCTGTGGGGTGGAGAGGCAACAGGGGGCTCCTGTCTCACAAAGTGGCAGATGGCAGGCTGTCTTCCCAGCACATCCATAAGCTCCAACATTCTCACCATCACAGCCCTACACTGGAACCCACTGGGCCCCTGGGCTGCTCTGTGCCTTGGGGTCACCACCCTTGAGAGGCCCCCAAGTGGGCATGGGGCCTTATCACTGTTTCTCTGGGGCATGCCATATGGCAGCCCCCCAGGCTCTGAGGGTCATTCACATCCACACCCTCTCTCCACTGTGCTTCCAGGGGTTCGGCTCCACTGCTCACCACCATCCAAGACACAAGACTCTAACCTGGTCTCTGCTCCTCCACACTGTGTCCATGCTCTTTCCACCTTGAGCATTTGTACCAAAGGAAATGGGGGCTGACGGTTCTCTCTGCGTCTGTCTTTTGTGAGTCACTGGTAGGCTGCGTTGGCCCACCTTCACCCCACCACACGCTCCTGTCTGCTCCCCCTTGGCTCTGGGTAACCTCTTATTACATCTTTGTCACAACAGGTGTATGCAAGCCCTTGAGTGTGAAGCCCAGGGAGGTGAGGCTGGGAAAACGGAGCGCTCAGAGTTCAAGTGTGGCACCACCGTAACCCTCCCCACGCACGAGCAGCAAAGACCCCCCCAGTGCTCTGAGGAAGAACTTTCAAGAAATTCTCCTAAGAAGGGCCGTCCCATCCCTGCAGGAATCCCGGGGAGAATTCAGTTGTCAGTATTAGCATGAACGTGAGTCTGATGTCTTTCTGGAGGAGCCAGGGTCTGCAGAGTCTCTAATGCAGATGGCTCTGTTCGCTCAAGGTGACAAATGGTGACACAGAAGTGACCTAACAGGCCCCTAAGAAACTTCTTTGTGTCTTTTCTCCAAGAATTCGCAATTTCCTGTGGGAGGCTATTTGACCAAGAACCAGGATGGAGTCTGGGGGTCAAGCAGGGCACACCTGCCCTGGTCAGAGCCTGCAGGGTGGACCCTGCTAGGGCGGAGCAGAGGAGAACCCTGGCTGGGGCAGGCCCAATGGGGAGGGGCTGTGACCCAGTGGGCGAGCCTGTTCCCGGGGATGGTTTGTCCCCGTGGGGTCCTCTTGGTCTCGCTGATGCTGTCACCCCCCTGAGCCCAGGGTAGCTACTCCTTTAATCGAGCTCTGGCCCAGGTGTGGCTGCAGAGCTTCCTGGCTGTCTTCACAAAGAGAATAAAGAAAGCAAAGGACACATCAAGGAGTAGCTGAACCTGTAGGCTCCATATGTGGAGTCTCCGTCTGTGTGTGACTCCCGTGGTCAGGGCGAGGCTCGAGCAGACAAGCCTCAGCAGAGCCCAGTCACGGGCCCGGGAGTGACCCTGGGAGCAGGAGGCTTGACCACGGAATGTGTGCAGGATCCTGAGGGAGGGCGGGAAACGTGTGAGAAAGAGCTTTCCAGATCCACATTCAAAAGCCTGACTTCCGTACTTGATGACTGACGTGCTTCCTGATTGGTTCAGATGTGGGCGATCCGGAGAGGAGGAGAGGGGGAGAGGGCCTGGGGGCTGAGACCAGCGGCCCTGCAGGGAGCCATCCTGTCTGCTGGTGGTCAGGGCCGACCGCGTATGCTCTCCAGGGCGGGAGTCACCAGGGTGAGCTCCCCTTCCCCTAAATTGACCACGAGAACGTCCCCCATTGCTCCTGGCATTGCCTCTGTCCTGGGAGGGCCTCCTACACTCTGCCGAGGGCTCCTCTTGGATGTGCTGTCTCCAGGCGGTGCTCAGCCTCAGGACTCAGGGTTGCCACAGGGTCCCCGGCTGAAAGGACCGTGACAGAAATGTCCTCGACGTAAATATTGCTCAGAGCACACAAACACAGTAGGTGCGCGGCGACTGTGGGGCTTGCCCAGGTTCCTGACGGCGGTGTTCTGTCTGCTCAGGGAGAAACAAAGGCAGCAGTGCTCGAGGTGGAGGCCCGGCACTGGCAGAACGCGGCGGCCGGGAAGGACCCAGCCAGAGGATGCCCCGCCAGCCCAGTGCCACCAGGCTGCCCAAGGGGGGTGGACCGGGGAAGAGCCCCCTGGGCGCAGCACCTGAGACGGGCGGAGACTTCTCACGCCACCCAGCTGTGGGCTCCCCAGCCCCCAGCAGAGGCTCTGTGTGGCTTCTCCAGTTGCTGATAAACCTTTTTGAAAAACTGAGGGTCATTCAAGACGTTTTCTATCACATATTGAATATATCAAGGCACAAAGATTTAGAACTACTTCTGTGTGCTGATCCTGTTTATGCTACAGCTGAACTAACCAAGTGACTTAAACCAGTGACTTCACCCTCCTGGACCTCAGGTTCGGCTCTGAGAGAAAATATCCGTATTACTAGGTCTTTAATAAACAGACATCAACACGTTGCGCTTCAAGTGAAAGGTACGTCACTTTTACTGAGACCACAGACAGTGGGGACAAAGATGAATTGTGTCGTGACCTAGAGCTTCTAACCTTCTGTGGGTCACAAATGCTGTGGAGAATCCAAAAAACTCTTTCCCCCAAAAACTGTCCTGACCTGACACATCTGACCCACAGTTTCAGGGATTTTGTGGACCCCCCCCTTCCATGGACCTCAGATTTTGAAACTCCAGTTCTAAGCTTTTATACTTTAGTCCACATGTCCCATCAATGGAGAAGCGTGAAAAATGGCAAATTCCATTGAGAAAGCTAACAGTTTTCCTAGAATTTAGTAAATCTTCATGCTTTGAAACCTTGGGTGGGAAATACTGACCGTCTCGCCCCGGGTCACGTCACGTGAGCAGTGGCTCCTCACTGATGTAGCTGGTGCTCCACCCGCTCCAGCAGCGCAGCACTGTGCGGCCCGGACCAGCCCCCCACGCGGCCCGTCAGGTTGGGGGTCCCCCCACTACTGGGGGTGGATGAGTGTGTCCCCACTGAGCACCACGACAGACAGAGGTTTAACACAGAAACTTTAATAGGTGAGCACACCTGTGACGTTATAGTGGGGAGGATACCCAGGGCTGGCCGCCAGCCACACGCGCCCACTCAGTACTCTTCCCCTTCTTCGGCCTCTGCTTCCACGGAATCCACGCCCACCTCCTCGTAATCCTTCTCCAGAGCCGCCAGGTCCTCGCGGGCCTCAGAGAACTCTCCCTCCTCCATGCCTTCCCCCACGTACCAGTGCACAAAGGCTCGCTTTGCGTACATGAGGTCGAACTTATGGTCCAGGCGGGCCCAGGGCTCGGCGATGGCGGTGGTGTTGCTCAGTATGCACATGGTCCACTGCACCATGGCCAGGTCTCCCCCGGTGACGACGGTGGGGGCTGGTAGTTGATGCCTACCTGCCAGAGAAGGGGAAGAAAGCACTCTGTGAAGCTTCCAGCAAACCCAGAAATGGTGGCTGCTTTCATGGAAACAGAAGACACACAGGTCCCCTCTGGAGACCCAGGAGAAGGCTCAGAGCCTTCTGAGCCCTTCTTGGTGCCAGGCAGGGAGCCAGGAGAGCAGGGTGCTGGTTTCCAGACAAGGAAAATAGGGAAAGAGGAGCCTCAGAATTGGCCACCCTGGCTAGGTCCTGAGCTGCCTCAAGGTCTGTGTCCCAGCAACTGTGACATGTGATAGGTGCCCAGGTGACAGGACAGTCTTCCTTCTGAAAAGAGACACTGCTTTGGATTCTTTGTACGTTATTTTCTGCACAGGCTTCAACAAGATGGGGATTAATTTCTGTGGCTGAAACCTTTTCCACCCAGACAGATTCAGAGTACACAACTGTGGTTGTATCACGAGCGATGGTCATACCCCGTTTTCCCACCAAACAAGCCAGCCTGTGCAGAGCAGGGTGACAGGCACACCGTCAGAGGTCCTGGGACTGCTGCCACCACTGCACCAGGAGGTGGTCTGTGTGTGTGCTAAGTAGGAGGAAAGGGGTGACGTTCTAGAGCTGGGACCAAAGAGGAGGCATTCCAAGTTTCAGATCCAAGGGACAACGTAACCCGAGGTTTTGGCAGCAGCACGCAGGGTCAGCAAACGTTGTCTGTAAAGGGCGAGACACTACACATTCTAGGCTGGGTGGGCCACGTGGTCTGTTACAGCTCCTCAGTTCTGTCTTTGCAGCAAAAGCAGCCACAACAATACGCCAATGAGCAGGTGCGGCTGTGTTCACACACAACTTATTTACAGAACCAGGCGGCTGGTCCACCCACCATGCTGACCCCTGAGCTGGAGGAGGAGGACCAGAGGAGGAAGGCCTAGGTCAGAACCACCGCAGCAGGCCCAGCAGAAGCAGTGAGGGTCTGAGCTAGCAGAGGAGGTCTGAAAAGGCTCAGGGAAGCACAGTCCTGAGGGAAAGAATCCACAGGGTTCGGTGACCGATGATTGGACAAAGCTGGAGAGTGACAGCAAGGTTTCATCTTGTATCCAGTAGAAGGTGGGGACAAACTGTGGTCCGAGGCAAACTCAGGCCAGAATTTCTGGGCTTACCAAGAGAAAATAAAGATGTTGCCATTTTCTTCACAAAAAGATTCATGGTAGTTTTTCTTTAAATCAAACACCACACAGGACATTTAAATTGGATGTAGTTTCTACATACTTATGGAATGAAGTTAAGATTTAGTGACAGCAATCAGTTTACAGTAATTCCTCAATTTCAAATGTCCATAGGAATTACCAAAATGCCCTGAAAATGTCTACATTTCTCAGTCCAACCTATATTTCCCACACTAATTCTAACACCCAAAAAAGGGAACAAAAATTCTTCAAAAAATTTTCTATTCTGTTATAAAAAAAATTACACTAACCACAGATCTATAGTGTGATGACTCAGGAAGAAAGTTCAAAAGATGCCACTGAATAAATGATCACTCTGGTTCCCTAATTTATGACCAAGAGCCAAGCTGCCAGGGAACAGGGGAATTCTCTGCAAAGGGCAGCATTCTATTGCAGGGTCTGCTGCTTGCTAACAGGTAGACCCTCTCCACATCACCCAGACCTACCTCAAAGCACCAATTCACAAACTGGATGGTGCGCTTGGTCTTAATGGTGGCCATGGCCATGTTGACGTCTTTCAGGACCACATCCCCCCTGTACAACATGCAGGAGGCCATGTACTTGCCATGGCAAGGGTCACACTTAACCATCTGGTTGGCTGGCTTGAAACACACATCGGTGATCTCGGCCACAGACAGCTGCTCGTGGTAGGCTTTCCCAACTGAGATAACTGGGACATAGATGGCCAAGGGGAAGAGGATGCAGGTTATGGGACCAGGTTAGTCTGGAATTCCATCAAGGTCACATTCAGTGCCCCATCGAATCACAGTGAGGCCATGATGGAGGCCATGATCTGCCCCATCAGATGACTGAGGTTGGTGTACATGGGCTGCTCGAGATCCAGGTTGCACTGACATATGTCATAGATGGCTTCGTTGTCCACCATGAAGGCACAGTCAGAATGTCCCAGGGTCGTGTGAGTGGTCAGGATGGAGTCGTAGGGCCCACCACGGCCGTGGAAACCTAGCGGGCTGGATAAAGGCAAATTTGAGCTTGGACTTCTTGCCATAGTCCACCGAGAGGCACTCCATGAGCAGATATGGAAACCCACAGCCAGTGTCACCCCTGAGGCTATGGAAGATGAGGAAGCCCTGCAGACCCGTGCACAGATCTGTCTGAGACAAAGCACAGAATGCGAGCCAACACCTGCAGAAGCCACACCGCCCACCTCCAACCAGCCACGGTCACTTCTCTTCCTCTGCAAGATCATACAACTCACATCCTCCCCAGTGAACATGCATTACACTTAGAGGCAGAGGAGAGAAGACATTAAAGACGTATGGATGCACTGCAGCCACACTGGAGAGTCATCAGACTGTGCACTCATGGGCCTCGGTTTTGCCTAAATGTCCTCCTGGTCACAATCCAAGGCCTACCCTCCCGTCTAGGACAATGTCCACAGGAAGCCTTCTCAGCGCTCTTCTTACCAGTTTGCGGATCCGGTCCAGGACCAGGTCAACGATCTCCTTGCCGATGGTGTAGTGGCCTCTGGCGTAATTATTGGCTGCATCTTCCTTCCCGGTGATCAGCTGCTCCGGGTGGAAGAGCTGCCTGTAGGTCCCTGTGCGCACTTCATCTACAGAGGACACAGGGGCTGCGAGTCTTTATGGCCTATTGTTAACTCACCCGGGTGGACAGATTCGGGACTGTTCCATTCTCCCAAGTACATGCTGTTCCTTGTAGGTCAACAGCATCAGTGTCTCCTAGGAAAGTCTCCGTGTAATACACAGACCACAGCTGCAACCTATGCCTCTAGGAGAGTAAAGTCAACTCATGTACAAATGCCAGTGTGACTGGTTTCCAAAGAAGGGAACAGAGTTCTCTCATCTGCACGCAGGCAATTCTACATGTGCATGTTTCTTTCATACCTGTAGCTACAGCCAAGGGTATAATTAAAACTCCCTTACATACTAGACAGTTCACAGCATGACTTTTGCTGGGCATCAGGGTACTCTATGTGGCCTGGGTCTCATAGACTTTAGGGTGACATTCTGTCATCCCCTGGGTGGCCACTGAAAGGTGCTCTCTTTGCAGCTCTCCTTGGAAACTACCTCAGACTCCTAATCTGGAGGAACCCAACGAATATTCTATACTTACCTTTCTATGTATAAGATGCAGGTCAGGACTCGTGCACCAGCCTGAGAGAGTGCACAGCATTAAGGAGGGACCCGGGCACCCTGCAGACAGGGTCTACACAACCACCTGACTGGGGCTGAGGTGGCCACGAGTGAATCTATCCCCAGCCCATCTTCCTGCTGGCCAACCTTACAGTAGATTTTTTTTAAATTAAGAGCCTGAGTCCCACAGACATTTCAAGCACTAACCTTCTAGTTTCTCACCTAATATGGCCACGGGTATACACGTATACATCCATCCTTTATGCAGAGGGATCAAAGGAGCTTTAGCCAAGCTCTCCCACCATCCCAGGACAGGTGCCCTGAGTGCCCAAGTACCTACCGACCATGGTGGGCTCCAGGTCCAAAAACACTTCTCCGGGCACTTGCTTGCGAGCCCCAGTCTCGCTGAAGAACGTGTTGAATGAGTCATCCCTACCACGGATGGTTTTGTCACTTGGCATCTGACCTTCGGGCTGAATTCCATGTTCAAGGCAGTACAACTGCCGATCTGGACCGCCGCCTGCCCCTCGTGTATAGAGATGTACTCATGCTGGGACCCAGAACATAAGAGACCCCTCATCTTTAAGGCAATTGTCACTCTATGACATGCTAATGAGACCTGATATCATAAATTAATATTTGTAAAATATTTTGGTGTCTGAAGGTTTTCTCAGACATTCCATCCCATGACCTGCCAATGATCATTTCATATCTGAACACCTGCCCATCCAACACAGATAGAGACATGTTGAACTATGAATAGGAGTACAGCCATTATAAACTCGTCTTCCAAGCAATCAGTAAGTAATGTTAAAAATTAACATAAAACAAGCAGTCAAGAAATTTTCCTTCCACCTAATGATCGATTTACCACCCTGCTTTAAGCAATTCCTTAGAAAATCAGACAAAATATATGAAATAACAGTTTTTGGTCACTGAAAAACAGGCAGCAAAGACAGCAATTTCTCAGAGCAGAGAAACAAAGTCAGCCATATTCCTGCCCCAGAAGACTGCTGGGGGGTTCCAGGCTGCAGCAGAGGGAGGAGGAACCCAAAGCCCAGGATTTCCCCAAGTGGAGAAGAGAGAATTTGGGGTTTAGGGAGGCCACGGCAGCTAGAAACCACAGTGCTGATACCAGAGGGGAGAGAGCTGCATGGAAAGAGCTCTGTGGAGACCAGCGGGGAGTCCCATGGAGCCCACAGCTGAGTGCTGCTCCTGAGCTCATTGTGTGTGAGGGGCTCCTGAGCTCACAGCCACCATGGTAGAAATATCTCTCCCTCACAAAGCACTGAATGGAGTCCTCAGAAGTGGGGCCAAATGAGGCCTACACTAAAGGCTGTTCTGAACCCACCTAACTAAGTCAAAAAGCAAGCCTCAAAGGATCCAGCTGTTTCCAGGTATATTAATAGCATCCCAGAAAAAA